CTCTGAAGGCAAAAGGTTCATTCTGGTATTAGCAAGGCGTTACCAACAAAGTGGCCTGTGAGTGTATATTTTTAAGTATATTTCTGGAAGTGTCATGTTTTTTATAAGAACATTAAAGAAGCTCCTAATGTTTTTGCTTGCAGGCACATATTGACTCCAAAAATACTGCCATCAAGACCCTGCAGCACAAAATAAATCAAATTTCCATGGTTAGTTGTCTATTTGTTTCCTGAAATTACTTTTAATGTATTTCATAACAATAAGCACAGTGAAACTTTGTATCCTGCAGGTCCGCAAGCATTTGCTGCTGCACACTGAGGTAAAGGCAAAGGCTCTTGGTGTTCCTGTGGAAGAGCTCCTTTGTAATTCCCAATGAGAGGAATCCTCATGATAAAAATGTGGAGCAGCACTTGGATTAAAGTGAGAAGCAAAGATCGCAAAGACTGGAACACTATTATTTCATTTACATCTTTTCTTTAATCTACCTTTAATGCTCATATGACTTTAAGTAGTAAAGAAATATAAATCAAAATTTAAAATGGGATCTCTTAATCCTGAGGAAAAAAAAGAGTTGTGTTGTGTGTTGTTTTAGACTAAAGGGTATGTCATGCCTCTATCTGTAGCATCCTCTGTCACACCAACCCTCAGCATGTCCTCCTTCATGACCTCCATGAATTTTCTCTGTGGTCTTTCTCCTTTAGGCCTGCGTGTCATCTCCATATTTGACATCCTTTGTCCAGTATGTCGTCTCTAAAGGGAGCAACTGAAAGATGAAGATACTTCATTGGTCATTTGTCAGGTGTTTTTAATGACAGTCAATAGGTGGCGCTATTCACATAATTCATCGTTGTGTCTCAGACGGTGTCATGGTCACAGATGTTGGTCTGGCTTCACTCTTTCTCTCCTTGTTTGCTCGGTCTGACGCTCTTTGTCATGGGAGCGAGACTCCTCCCAGAAGTGGGCGTAGTTACCCAAGACTTCCGCTGGTGCACCTGTTTCTTATCAACACCCACCTGCAGTATTTAACCACTGTTATTCCTACATTGCCAGATTGCTAAGCTATATCATGTGGCAGTGTCACTCAGGCCTCTTCCAGTAAACGTTTTGGTACTTTCCTTGTTTATCCTCTTCCATCCAGATTGGGTGTGTGAGCCTGCCTAGCTCCTGGTTTTTCCTGCCTGTTCCCCTCTGGCTTTACTGAGGAATACTCACATAAGTCTAGACCTGTGGGCAACAGGGAATTCTTATGTGAATCAACGTCAGTCTTTCTGAACGAGAACCCTGCTGAAAACTGAGCAGTTCAAGAATGCTGGAGTAGCTGAACTCTATCCTGTGTAACGAGACTTGACCATTAGATTGCTGGCCTGTGACCTTCCCTTGAACATTATTCAACTTTAATTCCTGAACTTGCCGCAGATGTTGTTACCGTATCTTGAAGTTGTTCATTAAAATTGTTAAAATTCTTTCCATTGCTTCCTGCATTAAAGTGTTTTGTACAATCATTCAGTGGTTAACGCTACAACGTTGCTTCACAGCAAGA